GGCACGTGGTGGACTGTGGCGTGGATACCAAACAGCCATGTACGGCGGCAGGCCCATACCAGGAGAACTGCGCCCCGTCCCACCACTGCCCCATGCTAAGCCCGAGGCCGGGGACAGACTGCTCCTCCCTGAATTTCCACCTCCTTACAGGAGAAGGAGATAAGGCCCGGCGCGGAGCTGCACACCTGCAGTCTCAGCACTTTGGGAAGCCGAGGCAGGGGTATCGCTCGAACCCAGCGGTTCAAGACCAGCCTAGGCAGCACAGCAGGACCCTCTCTCTACAAAAAGTTGAAAAGCGAGTGGGGTGTGGTGGCACGCACCTATGATCCCAACTACTCACTTGGGAGGCTGAGGCAGAAGGATGACTTGCACCCAGGAGGCTGAGACCATCCTGGACAACAGAGTGAGACCCTGTCTCTACAAAAAACTAGCCAAGTGTGGTGGTATGCGCCGGTAGTTCCAGCTACTCAGGAGGCTGAGGGGAAAGGATCCCTTGAGCCCAGGAGGTCGAGGCTGCAGTGAGCTATGACTATGCCACTGCACGCTAGCCTGGACAGCAGGGCAAGACGTAATCTCTAAAAAAGATAATAACAAAATAAACAATGAGCAAATACAATTCGTAAAAGGAGGTGAGACCTCATCCCTCGTGGGTGGCCGTTGTGAAATAACAAACACCCCAAGAAAACGCTGGTGAATACTCAGTCGGCTTGGGCTTCAACGGGCAGTTGGTGAGGTTCCCTGGCCACCCAGCCAGGCCCACCGGCAGCCTTGGCGGCTGTCCTCAGTGCCCAGGAGACGCAGGCCACACCTGTGCCGGCAGGGAGTGCGTTCACACTGACCGCCGAGACACAACCTCAGCCAGGGGTCGTTTTGCCCTCTTGAGAGTACTGCCCTTGGGTCTCTTTCCATGGCAGCTCCTAGGTTGGGCAGGGTACCCTCTGAGGCTCCAGAGCCCCCCAGTTCTGCCGGAGACAACTCACTTCCAGTATCAGGGATCACTGCTGTCACGGGTGTGGACGATCTGGGGGGCCATGGGTCCCTCCCACAGATGAAGGCGATATCCAGGTGCGAGGTGGAAATGGCTGCCTTGATGGGTCCAGCCTGCATCCCATGAACCGACCAGTCCCTCCACACATTTGCACCTGCAGCGCCACAGCTGACACCACTCGGCTAAGGGTGGGCCCTGTAGTAGGGCTGTCCCCACACGCCCGGACCCCTCAGCATCCGTTCCTCCATGACACTCCCTACCGCCGAATGTTCCAGTGACCCAGGTGCCTTCTATTGTCCTGGTCTGGCGGCAGACCCCTTGTGGGCAGGGCTAGCGTCTACGCCTCGTGTCCACAGTACACTGTGATGGGCACGGGCCACAGTGCCATCCAGACGTGGGGCCCCAGTAGCACCGAGCCCGCGGGGCCCACACGGAACATGGTCCACCAAGTCAGCAAGGTAGGACTCTGCTGCCTCTGCCCTGACGACCATCCTGTGTGTCGGGCACTCGTGAGGGGTTCCCTCCCACCCGGGACGCCTGCGCTCTGACCTTGTCGGGCAGCAGAGGGACAGCACACCCGACCGTGGGGCACGACTCAGATCTCCTGCAGGAGGCCACACTCAGAGGCTTGGCAGGTGGCACTCTTCTGCTGAGCCGTGGCTCGCCGGGCACAACGGGCCCGTGCCTGGTCCACATCGTGGCTTCCCGGGAGCTGCTGTGCTTTCCCTTGCAGGAGAGGACGAAGGCGTCCCGAGGCGCCTCTGCCTGCAGGACGTTGTTGGCATCGATGAGCAGACTGAAGGCCCTTGGGCTCTTCTGCCCGGGTCCATGAAAGACACCAGTGCCTGGACAGTGAAGTGAGGGCCTGGCTCCTGACCTGGGCAAACTGCACACCAAGCCTCACAGATGGCTGTTCCCTTTCCACCCGCAGGAGAGAAGAAAAACGGCAGTACCCACCTGATCTGTCTGGAACACTGTTTTCCAGCTCAAGTGTCTGTCAACTCCTACTCATCCTTCAAGACCCAGATCAGATATCCCCCCATCGGGGAGGCCTCCCCCTGCTGTCCAGCCAAGGGTGCCGCTGGGCTGTGGTCTTGGCACACTGTGCTGCCATGGTTTCCTCATCCCCCAGTGCTGGAGGGCAGAGTCTCGGTGTGGCCAGAAACAGCCTGAGAACCTAAGAGGAATGCACCCTCCTGGGCTTGGGCCCAGGCCTCCCGAATCCACACTTCCACAAGCCAGGTTCCTCCTCCCAGGCTGCTTTTTGGTGTGAGGATGCCAACCTGGAGCAGGAACTCCTGGCGCGAGGACTGGGCAGGGCCACGCTCGCCAAGCGGCCGGCTCTCCAGGAGTGGCGGGACGCAGGAGAGGCTGCCGGGGTGAGGCCTGCCACGGCGGGAATGCAGGCAGGC